CCTTGACCCTGGTTCCCTCATGCTTCTTGCGCCCTGTAGCTCGCGGCTCCAAGCTCCCTGTCTCTGCCTCCCCCCCCCCCGCCCGATGCTGCCTTTGTTCCGAAATACACCCGCCTTTCCAGACTCCCCCTCGGCCCCGGCCCCAGAAGCGACAGTCGGGCGCCCAGTCGATTGTGCAAAGGATGGCCATGGGGCCACGATGGCCGGCAGGAGGGCGTGCCAAATGTGAAACAAGGAACCGCCACCGGCGGCTTCAGGACCGTAGGCCGGTGCCGGCAGTGTCGGTGGTGTTGCCCCCGCCGCTGGTCGAGGACTCGGTGTCCAACTCCGAGAGGTGGCCGGACTCGGGGTCCGGCTCTTCGGGCAGAAGCAGCAGCTCCGCGCCCGGGGTCAGCTCCTGTATGGTGCACTCGGCCGCCAGCCGGCCCGACGGCGAGGGAGGACGCCAGTAGGACCGCAGCGGCGGGCTCTCGGCGCGCGAGCCCAGCCAGGCGGACGCCCCCCGGGGCGCCGGCGAGGGCCCCTTCAGCGGCGGCGTGGTGCCTGTCCCATAGGGCACAATGGCCCCGGGGGTGGTGGGCCGCGCGTCGAGGGAGTTCCTCCGGATCAGGGTCCTCGGGTGCCAGGACCCGGCGGCCGCGGCTGCCGCCAGCGCCGACATCGGCCTCGAGGCTGCCACAGGCACCGCCAGCCGCATGGCCGGCCCCTCGCCGGGGATGGCCACATCGGGGTTCAGCCGATGCGGTGACACGCGAGCCGGGTCGCTCGGTCGAGGGCCGGTCGCGAAGGCGCGCCCCTGCGGGGGCGATGAGGGGACCGATGCGGCCTGCTTCATGCGCCGGGGGGCTGATCGCCGGGGCCGATCTGCCCGCCGGAGGGAGCGCCAGCAAATGCGGAAACGGGCTTAGGATCGTGATCAAGGCGGGCGACCGCGAAGGGAGGGGCGGGGGGGGGGGGGGGCAAAGAGTCGCATCCGGCCGGTTGGCGTACCGTGGTGTCCATGGCCAGGCTCCAGCAGGGGGAAGGGCGCACGGCCCTTGAGGGCGGCCCGGTGAGAGGGGGTCATGCCCGAAGTAGATGAGAGGGCCGGGGCCGGCAGGGCCGCCGCGACCCAGGCCTCGCGCACACCGCGCAGCAGCGAGTCCAGCACGCGCTCGACAAAGAGGCATGCCCGGATCGACTCGATCTTGGCCCAGGTGGCCCGCTCGGCGCGGCGGGCCTGGGCTCGAACGTGCGTCGACTTCGGATTGTGGAGCAGGGCCGCCAAGTCCGACGGGTGCGAGGCCGATGGCAGGGACTGAACCGGCGGGACAATCGTAATGTCGGCATACCAGCTACAGTGTCCCGCCCGGTGGCAGGAGCGAGAAGCGGGCGTTAGGCACGGGGGGCGGAGAGGAAAAGCGGCAGGAGAAAATGCCAACAGAACATTGTTTTCGGGGGAGCGAGGGGG